ATTTCGCAGACACAAGCCTTGCAGACCACAGTTAATTCAAGGGCTGTAGGTCGAGGAAAAGAAATCTGGAAAGGCAGACCAAGATCTGGCAGACCGAAATCTAACAAATTGGAGGAAAGTTCAGCCACTGGAATTCAAAAGAGGTGGCAGAACAGAAATTATCAAGTTGCAGATAACAGATCCAAATCTGCAGGAAAGGCAAATATTGAATGCTTAAGATGTCATAAGTATGGCCATTATCGTTCTGAGTGCCGTACTAATCTGAATAGAGGAGAAAGTTCCAATTTTGCAGAACACAATGAGAAGAATGACGATTCCTCTCTATTCATGGTCTGTCATCCTAAAGAAGTTAGCAAGAAGAATGTGTGGTATCTGGATACTGGTTGCAGCAATCACATGTGTGGAGACAAATTTGCATTTTCAGATTTGGATGAGTCTTGTCAAGACAAGGTGAAATTTGGTGATAATTCCACTATTGCAGTCAAGGGAAGGGGAAAGGTAACCATTCGTGCCAAAGACAATTCAATTCAGACTATTTCTAATGTTTTGTATGTACCAGATTTGAAGTCGAATCTGCTTAGTTTGGGACAGCTTCAGGAAAAAGGATATGAAATCCTTATTAAAGATGGAGTTTGCCAAATTCGTGATTCAAAACTTGGTCTGATTGCAAAGGTCAAGATGACGAGAAATAGGTTGTTTCCATTATACTTGCAGACCACAAATCTGTCATGTTTATCTGCCAGATTAAAGGACACAGCTTGGTTATGGCATTGCCGATTTGGACATCTTTATTTTGGTGGGTTGAAAGCTTTGCAGTAGAAGAAAATGGTAAATGGTCTTCCTCATTTTGATTCTCCTTCAGAAATTTGTGAAATCTGCGTAGTCAATAAACAGCACCGTGACAACTTTCCTAAAGACAGATCTTGGAGAGCAAAGCAGGTGCTAGATCTGGTTCATTCTGATCTGTGTGGACCCATAAATCCAACATCCAATGGAGGTAAACAATACTTTATTACCTTTGTTGATGATTACAGTCGCAAGACATGGGTGTATTTTTTGCAGACCAAGTCAGAAGCCTTAACAGCCTTTAAAAATTTCAAAGTCTTGGCTGAGAATGAGGTTGGCAAATCTGTAAAGGTTTTGCAGACAAATCGTGGTGGTGAGTTTAACTCAAAGGAATTTGCAGATTTTTGTGAGTCCAATGGCATTAAAAGGCAACTCACAGTAGCCTACACACCTCAGCAGAATGGTGTATGTGAGAGGAGAAATCGCACAATCATGAATATGGTGTGAAGTCTGATGTCAAAGAGCGACTTGCCTAAGGAGTTTTGGCCAGAAGCTGTTAATTGGAGTGTTCATATCTTGAACAGAAGTCCCACATCTCCACTTCCAGATTTGACGCCAGAAGAGGCTTGGAGTGGACGTAGACCTGCTGTTGATTACTTCAGAATTTTTGGATGCATAGCATATGCACATGTGCCAGATCAGAAAAGGAGTAAGGTTGATGACAAAGGGGAAAAGTGTATTTTCCTTGGTGTTAGTGATCAGTCCAAAGCTTACAGATTATACAATCCTTTAACCAAGAAGGTCATCATTAGCCGTGATGTAGTGTTTGATGAAGCAAGCACTTGGTCTTGGACAGAAAAATCTGGGCAACAGATTCCTGCAGATTTCGAAAATGGAGAAGATTTGACTGTGCAGAACTCAAAAGGTCAAACTTCAACAGATCTCAAGGTTTCAAGACAGACAGCTGAAGAAATTTTGCCTACAGAAGTAGAGTTCAGTACTGGAGGAAGTCTGTCAACAACACCAGAACTGGAATCTGGAACTAGTTCTAGACCTCAACGCAAAAAAGAGAAGACCAGCATGGTTGGAAGATTATGAGGTAACAGATCTACCTCAAGATGATGTTCTAGTTAATCATTTTTCTTTATTTGTAGATTGTGATCCCTTAACATATGAAGAAGCTGTTAAAGAAGAAAAGTGGCAAAAGGCCATGGCAGAAGAAATTGGTTCTATTGAAAGGAACCAGACTTGGGAGTTGACA